TGAAAATTTGATGTTGAATGATAAGGACATTTGCATCTCTACATACAAAAACAACATTCCTTAATTTTGAATGGACATTTTGTAATAAAGAAAACTGTCCGAAGTTAAGAAAAAAGATATTTCTATCTACATAATACATTTTCATGTGGTATCCGATATTTAAAAGAAATGTATGATATGCCCCCCCCCCCCTCTTATGCTTGATAATCAATTAGAAAACAAAGGTCATATTTCAATTTTTCATGATTGCAATTCAGCCAAGATTATTAATATAAATCAGATATGTCTGCAGAAAGAATGATCTCTTTCCATACTCATGACGTTCTAAGATGTCACAATAAGTGCTTTTTTTGCATGTTTTGAGATGTTGCTGAAAACAAGCCTTCTTTCCTTAATTAGCCACATTTGTGTTTATCGCCAGTAAGGCATGGTCATGTGTAGGAATTGGCCAAAGAAAAGTGTATATATCAAATAATCAATAATCAATAATCAATCATTAGATCATAATGATAATAACTTCAAGTATTACAAGCTTATTAATTTGTTAATTTGCTCTGGAATCAGCTGATTTACATCTGGTTGTTTACACTGACAACAAAATGGGAAACACAGATTCTACTTTCAATTTATAAGGAACAGATGATGAGGAAAAAAAATTAAAATATATATAAGTTACAGCCATGTGTTCTGAAAAGCATCCTGCATAGAGAGCTTACCTGGAAGTCACTTCTGGTAGTGACCATGAAAGTACAGGTGCCAAAACTGGTCATAACATGTGAATGATAGTCTGTGAATTTTTTTTTATTTCAGAAACCAAATGAAAAAAAACCCAGTATATGAATTTGTCCTTTTGCAGTTTGAGTAGAGAAAAAAAAGATGTAATCATGACTATGGTAAACCTTTGGTCAGTTCGAACAGACAGGTAAATCATGTGATTTAAAAAAAAAAAAAAAGAAACTATAATTTTCAATTTCATGATAGTTCGAACTCTTTCAATACATTTTTCAGTTACATTTCAAATTGTTCAAACATATTGCAAGACTGCATGTCTTACTATTGATGAAGGTGTTGGCTCCATAATCGCTCCATGTGGTCACTATTCACATCAATGTTAAACAATGTGGAACGCAGGCTGTAAATGATCACCGTAAGCAATTGATAACATCAGATTATACACATACACGGTACTTAATTAGCATTGATGTGTAGTGCGATTTCACATCTTGCCATAATATTGTGCATGTGCCATCTGACACAACTCAAGACCCCAACACTGTATTACAAGTTAAGTGATCAGTAATTATTTCCAGGCTGGTTTTTTTATTTTAATCACTGCCCCCTACACACCCAGCAAAACGCCATTTCCCATTTGTAGTTTCCTGCTAATGACACTTTCAGAAACCTCGACATGGTTTTCGGAAATGTCAACCTGGTAGTCTTATTGATTTCACAAGCATAAATTCGTATAACTGAACAGGTTCAACAATATTTTATTCAAACTGACTGAAGGGTTTATCGTAATTAAAACTGGTTTAAGGAGGCTCAACACTTCACAATTAACCCCTATGTTTTTACATAATGGTAATGTGACCTAGTGAATATGAAAATCTCAGCATTCTAAAGAGTTATTCACTTTTTTTTTTTTAAATTACAAAAAAAAAAAACAAATGATGTTTCAAGAAGTTTAATATTTTCTTATTTTTTTCTTGCAAGAGTCTTATAAATTTTAAAGAAACAATAAACCGATAAAAAAAATCAATGTCTACTTTACAAATTTATCTTATTGATAAAAAATTATACAAAACCATATTAAATACTCACATAGCATGAAGCTGTAACAAGAGGCCCATGGGCCTTAACGGTCATCTGACAAAAAGCAAGCCAAACCTAGAAAGTGGGTTGAGGTCATTCATTTGAACAAACTTGGTAGCCTCTCCTCCAAGCATCTTACAGGCCCAATATCAGCACTCATGGACTTTTGCTTGTTGAGAAGAAGTCGTTTGTATATTTTAACATATTTGACCCCTGTGACCTTGAAAGTGGGTTGAGGTCATTCATTTGAATAAACTTGGTAGCCTTTCTCCCAGCATGCTACAGACCCAATATCGGCACTCATAGACTTTTGCTTATTGAGATGAAGTCCTTTGTATATTTTAACATATTTGACCCCTGTGACACATTTGAACAAACTTTGTAGGGCTCCATGCCAGCATGCTATGGGCCAAGTATTTCCTTCTAATGAGAAGAAGTTATTTAAAGATTTTGACATGGTTTGACCCCTGCGACCTTGAAAGTTGTTCAAGGCCATTCATTTAAATAAACTTGGTAGCCTTTCCTCCCAGCATGCTACAGACCCAATATCGGCACTCATAGACTTTTGCTTATTGAGATGAAGTCCTTTGTATATTTTAACATATTTGACCCCTGTGACCTTGATAGTGGGCCAAGGTCATTCATTTGATCAAACTTTGTAGGGCTCCATGCCAGCATGCTATGGGCCAAGTATTAGCCCCCTAGGCCTTCTAGTATTTGAGAAGAAGTTATTTAAAGATTTTGACATATTTGACCCCTGTGACCTTGAAAGTTGTTCAAGGTCATTCATTTAAACAAACTTGATAGCCCTTCATCCCAGCATGCCACAGGCACAATATCTCTGAGCCTTTTGGTTATTGAGAAGAACTTGTTTAAAGATTTTAACATATTTGACTTTTTTTTTCATTCATTTAAACAAACTTGATAGCCCTTCAAAAAACAGGCACAATATCAGCAATCTGAGCCTTTTGGTTATTGAAAAACTTGTTTAAAGATTTTAACATATTTTTTTCCTGTGACCTTTAAAGTGGGTCAAGGTCATAAATTGGTAGTCCTTCATCCCAGCATGTCACAGGCCCAATATCTACACTCTGAGCCTTTTGGTTAATGAGAAGAAGTTGTTTAAAGATTTTAACATATTTGACCCCTGTGACCTTTAAAGTGGAGTCAAGGTCATTCATTTGAACAAAAAGCTCCATGCCAGTATCCTCTGTGCCAAGTATTAGCAGACCTTATAGTATTTGAAAGAAGTCGTTTGAATGAAAAGTTTACGGACGGCGCACGGCGGACGACGACGGACGAAGCATGATGAGCATGAAGCTGTAAAAACCGCAAGTAAAAAATTGAAACAAAATATCACAAAAATGTTTTTCTATCTTACATTTGTAAATCTACATATAGAATTGTTCCTGGAGTAGGTTGTCTCCCTTGCAATTATCACACTCTTAGAGTTGGTAGTATTATCAGAAAACACATACACTATGTATATAAATACACTTTTGGACACTTTGAACAATATAATGATATTTACACATACCTATGTATTGATTGGGCATTCATAAATTCATTCTATTACACAGAGGCCACCTTCCTGGTGTCAAACAACCAAAGAATAACTTGTGCTGTCCTGTCTAATGATATCAACTGTTATAACTTTTCGTTCAGTTGCTTACAAGTTTCACTGTGTGTTATGAATTGAAATATGTATCTTTGACAATGAAAAGAAATAAGAAGACCTAAAGGGGATCTTTATTTGTTCTTTAAAAACATGGATCTTTTCCCTTCTATCCCTATTTCCTTTCGATTCTTTCCACCATTCCTAATTTTAATCATAAACTGCCTTTCCAAACACTCGATATCCCTCTTTCTAGTCGAGAATCCAGTAGAGATACTGTTGTCATGTTTCACTCTCATCATTTCACCAAGTGCTAGTATCTTTTTTGTCAACTAACAGCATTGGCTTGGAATAGGAATAGACATAACAGCTACAACTTTCATGATGATCACTTTCAAAAGGTGTAAACCATCCTCTCTCGTCTCCGCTTGCCATTGTTGTCATCATGACATACTTTTCATTTTCTATAAACAAGTTCTCTTGCGCAACACAAACTTTACACCCTTTAGCAAAATGCCTGGTACACAAACAGGAAGTTACATCACCACAATATTGGAAACATTACTTGTGTATTATGCAGGGTCATGTCTCCCTTAATTAATAATGTACAAAACTTTCCAAAATTTGAAATGTTATCATTTTAAAGTCATTAATTGTAAGTAATTGATACAGACACAGATAGGTTTGACTTTCAATCAATATGTGAAGTAATATATTGTGCAAGCTTTATAAAAATTATGAGATATTTGCCATTAATGTTTTGAGAACCTTTCTTTTACCTTTTTACTAAGTTTACTAAATAATTTGTTTATCAGTATTTTTATGACATATTGCTTAAATATGATGATGGTCACTTCAAGCTGACAACTACAATGTTTACAGATACACCTTTTCTTCAAGTATGAGAATTTTTCACTTGCCAAGGTGTAAACTTCTTAAAATCATGTGAAGAAAAGGGTGCTGCTCGGGGCAAATGTCTTTGGGCAGGTGATTTCAAAGAAAATGTTTAGTATGACAAGCAAAAATCGTTGACTAAACAGGTATGTGTACAGAACAGAGAAAATCATACTATCACTATTTGCAAGCACTCTGTCATGAATCAAACCCGAGTCTATAGCTGGCTTGAAGACGAACTTTGTTCTAAAACAAAGGTTCGTCATCATACTATAAAACCGTGTGTAGGCCTTGTCTCTACCTAATGAGTCATTTACAGGAAGATTATTCCATCAGCTGGAATAGTGTGACGGTCTGAACACTTATGAAGTTAATAGTACAAGCTATGCCAACTAGCACCACGTTTTAAAATGAATAAATTTGTGAAATTTAGACCTATTCCTCACTTAAAAACAATTTGTGAAATACAGAAATTTCAAAACAGCAAAGTACTTTTTACACTAGTGTAATTCAAAGTGTTTTTTTAATAATTTTTTTGTAAAACTCTTCGGATAGGCCTACCTCTTTTCTTTTCCTCTGAAACTGAACACACACTCAACTGGGAAACCCCTTGCATATGAAATTCGACATATTGTTACTTCAGTCATCGGTTCATAAAGAAGGATAGTCGAATATTTACCTGCTCCTGAGGGTCCCGGCGAAACCGTAGGAGCCGACGCCATGGGCTATTATTCTTGCTGTTCGCTTGTTTTCTCTTCTAATGGTGATATAGTATAATTTTTCGCGATTTCTGAAACTCTGACAGGAAAACAAAGCAGTCTCGTCATGAATGAGATTTCACGAGATCAAAATATTTCCCAAAGTACCTGTTACTTCCGGTATAGTTTCTCTGCAGAAACTTGAAAGTGTTTGAAGTTCGCTCACATCAAGATAAGATCGTCTATTGGCGGAATGCAGATTCCATAACTGGCCAACATGAGTTTGGGGTGAGTTATAGTTAAATGTCGAGTTGTTTGTTCGCAATTCATGTCACACTGAATATCGTGTGTTTTTACTTATGATCATGAAATTTGTCAACTGTTGAAATCATATGAAAAATTCTTTAAAAATTCCTCAAATTCCTTTAGGCTGGTAATTTGTTATGCATTTCCTTAGGGGATAAGGCGAACTATTCTCAACGTTACTCTGTTTGGTTTTTTTCGCCTATTGATTTTTTAGATGAATGAGCATGCTATCTGTATGAAATATTCGTAAAAAATAAACAACTACAAATATGGTTCAAGTAATAATTGAGATCATAATCGAAATTAAAAGACATTAGACAGTGCTTGTCTGTAGGCCCAAATAAAAACTTCAGTGTATATTCCTTTTAACTAGTGGTTTCAGGAGATATCTTACATTTGTTTTGTATAAATTATTTCCACTTGTTGACGAAATAATGTACTTCACTTTTTCAGTTTTATGCTTAAAATGATTTGAGATGAAAGAAAATATTTTTGTGTAGAAATCTGAATTTGTATTTATAAAAAATTGCTAAAAATAATAATGACAGTATATGCAATTCTGTTGTTATATTTTCCTTCAATTTAAATCTAACAAACGCTCCTTTACACTTCAAGGTTTTGATGAAAAGATATTTAGGAAAGGCTCATTTAATCTTAGTATCATACACAAAACATTTGGCGAAAATAGTCTTTAGTGTTTTTTAATGAATCAACCTTCATTTTTTTCTTGCACTATTTATGTCTTTTCCTATGAATTTTACACTTGTTTGCATGGTTTTATTTTGTTAATTTTTATGCTATTTCAGAAGTGTTTCCTGGCTGTGTAGATTTTATATTCTCAAGGATCATGACTTCTTTTATTATTTTACATTTCTTATTTTCAAAGTTACAAATCAATGACAGTTGTTTGATACTTAAGTTAGGATTCTTCAGTGCTTATTTGAATAAAAAGTATGTTTAAAAACAGGCAAATTCCCAGCTAACCAAGAAAACTCATGATTATACATTTACAGGCATTTTATAAACTTAAACATATAAATTGTTTTACATGCAATGATCAAGAAGAATGATGAAATATACTATTGAAAGCACTTGCAATACTGTGTATTGTTCTTTTATTTTATTATCTCAAATGTCACTGATGCAAACATTAATGTATAGAAACAACAAATGCTTCATTTTTGAGTAATCAAGTCGTGATCTATGGGAGATAACTCTTTAGTGTCTTATATTCATTCATTTTTATTAACTGTTTGTATTCCAGAGCCAGTGGTAGTGATAGTGACTTTTCACAACTAAAGCGGTATGCATCATCATCATTAGTAAAATGTAGTATATTAACTCCAGTTACTTATATTATTCATACCTTTTAATTATAGGCATTGTGATGTACTGCTTTCATATAGATTTGTATACAAAATACTCACATCATAAACTACTTACTGCTAATCATGAATTATTACAGAATTGTTATTTTTTTCTAATTAGGATTTAAAGGTCTAAATGAAAGCTGTGTAATCATTCATTGACTATCATGATGTGTAAACAGTCACTAAAAACATTTAATGGTTGCAAAATTTATATGCTATTTGTTAGTATATCTAATTCTGCTTCCTGTTTTCTGTCCCTTTAGATATATAGACAACATATTATTTTCCTTTATATTGATTATTAATTCTAAGCAAGTAATTTATACTATGGTAAAAAGCTCCAATCAAACGTTTATTACTTTTCAAAAGTAATTAAAAAAAATTACAGTAATGTTTCCCTATTTTTATTTCATTTTTAAAATAATCACAATTGATTTTAGAACATTTAGACTATATATGTCTTTCCAAATTTCATTAAGGATATTATTGAGATTGTAAATAACTGATTGTTGGGAAATAGGAAACAAATATTTAATTATTTATCCTTATTATTGATTGATCTTAAAAAACACTTTCAAAACTATTTACCAAGGAATGCACACACATGAATATTTAAAAGGGTAATTTACATACCCGGTACTTCAAATATCTATGATTGGTAAAGGACTGTATTATGAGAAAGTAGTTGCATGCTTTGAAAATAAACAATACTAACCATTGTGGTGGCACATGCACATAGTTGTAAGTAGATTTGCATGTACAGTGATTTTAAATGCCAGTGATTAATCAAAAATATGTCAATGCAATATTTGGTAATTGATTAAATTAACTGCACTGCTTGGTTTTACTTAACAGAAATTTATTGAAAATCAGGTATAAATTTATATATATGCCTATATATTAGATATGTTTTTCTTAACAGATAGGGTATTGGTTAATTAATGGTATTTCAAGTTTATATCAATCATTTTGAAGTTTAAAAAATAGAATTTTTCATGAAGTCTTAAGTACACTACGCCCTTCATATCTATATCACCTACGTGCATTATGAAACAATAATATAATATTGAAATCTATAACACAGAAATATTACACCAGTGACCATGACTATCAATCTAGGATTTATCTTAAGTTCTGTAATATTTTAGCCAGACTTTTAATTGCTTCTTGGGGAACTTAAATTCAACTAAAATTTCTGTTTTGTTCCAATTGGCCCATGACTCCCCTTGCATTTATAATCAGAGTCAATCTTTAAGATTAAAAGGCGGACATATTTTCTTTCAACAGATTTCTATGCGTTGTTTATAGTTAAAATTTATTTCCATGGATTGCCACTTTACAACAATAGTTCTTGAAAAAGAGTTACCATGGACATCACGCATAACTAGCTAAAGTTTGGAAGAAAAAACAAAACATAAAAATGTACATTTACTACACATGTTGTGGTTTGTTCTGTTAGAAATTTGAAACAATATTGTAGGCTAGTCTTGTACTGTTGTAGTGTAATTTATAGAATATGCACTATAACTTACATCATCATGGTAATTAAAACTATGTGTAGCTTATCTTGACATAAGATTCAAGTAAACGTCTGTTATTACTCATGAAAGATTTCATAATTTAATATAAGCAGGCATGCTGTGGGGGCCGGGGTTAATTGGATTGAATACAAACTTTCTACCTATAGCTAACCTTGCTGGAGTTCATTAAGTCCATTATAGATGGATGTTTGGCTCTTCTTTGTGTATATTTATTATACATGATGCTGCTGTTCCTGATCATTTGGTTTGTTATATATATGTATGTGCGTGTTTGCCATGCATCCAAACTTTACAATGAAAAAGATCCATTATTGATAAAGTTATATGAACACATGTGCAAATATAAGAAAAGATTGTTCTTCAGATTTGAGAAGAACATCTTTACTTGCATGGCCGAACATGTGCCCTTCAGGTTTGTTTATAAGTGAAACGGATACGGTACTAAATCGGTCATGCAGATATTAGCTGGAAATTCTCATCATAGCATTTAACACTGGACATACAAAACTGCTGTTGTCATTTCCACATAATTGAAGAAACAGAAAAAAAAATGGTCCAAGTATTTTGTGAGATAGAGTTAGTTATAAGGTCGGAGGTGGTGTATGTTTATACACAGCAACGCTTCAAGTGGAGGACACATATATAAAACTACACACCATGTCATATTATCAGTGTTCCTATCACCTATATTGGCTATTTATTCTTCTGGGTCTAAATTAATTTCACTAGTAGAGGTGACTAGTGGTTTGGTGAAATGAGACTAATTAGAATCTGAACAGGAAACCACAGGATATGTTCAGGATTATCCTAAGGTACGTAAACAGGTCATGTATTTAAGTGTTGTCTTCTTGTTTGTGAAATTCGTAATAATGCACGATGAAGTGAAAGTTATGCATGAACATGATTGAGCCTGTTTTGAAACAACTGCATCAGTAAAAACCAGGCATTTAGCATATATTGTAGTTGTAAGCACATAGACAAGTGTCTTTATTAGGTCAAAATTAGCATTGACAAAGTTGAATCTATTAACAGTAACCCCTTAAATGATAGGGATATTAAATGTGTTTACATAATCAATTCAGACATGCTAGGGTTATAAATAGACAAGGATTGTTTAAAGACCAACCATGTATGATACATGTACAAACCTATATGTAGGCTAATGTTGATATCATTGAACTCTTACTCAATGACATTATTTTTTTGTTCAAGCAGAGCATATATTACCTTAAAGAGGTAGAGCAAAGAAAAAAATAACATTGTTGAAATCTGTCAAAAGCATTTGAGTTCCCCAGTTCCCCCTTTTTTTTCTTTCTTTTTTTCTTTAAAAAAATGCATATTTTCCCATAATGAAAAAAAAAACTTTCACAGCTGAAGAATAAGTATAAACACTGTAAGATAGAATTCAAGATTATCTTTGAAATGTTTACAAGTTTAATTCAAATAGAATTTATAGTAAGGGAAATAACTCTTCATAAAAATAAGTGATAAATGTGTATTGCCAGGTTATATGCAGCCTTAAATAATCCATGACCACTCAAAAATGTTGAGAACAATTTATGTTGTATGGAACTAGGCATTCTAGGTCCCCAAGATCTATTTTCCTCTCAAATTATTTTGTGAAAATGCTGATCATCGAGGAATTTATTTTGCAAGAATTACACTATTATTACTATGAAAGCAAAGCCTTTTTCCAATATGGCTGGTATAACTTAAGTAAGATGTTGTCATTTTTTATAAAATGCCAGCGTGATACTTTATCATTATTGTTTTTGGTTTTTTGTGCAGTGGAAGCAACTACAAAATATTTGATGCAAATGTATTCTGCTTGCCAGAAATTGAAAAGGTTTTGATGTACCTAGACCAATTTGTAAC